TATCACTAATAGACAGGGAGGTGAGGGAGAGGGAGGGGAAGAGAGAGAGAGAGAGTTGGGAGGAATAACACGAAGAATTTTATGTGCTATAAATGAATGGCATTTATTGTTGAGTATTTAGAAAGAGAGCGAAATAATCGTTAAATTAAATGAATCGGAAGAGTATAAGGATTACAATAATCGCACATTTCTTTTCTCCGGCGCTAAAGAATCGCTGATTAACTGAATGCTAACGAATCGTATGAGAAATCAATGCATAAACAATAATAATGAATATTATAATATATTTTCCGTTCACTTATTTTTAGGCAAAGATTTTTCATCCTTTCATACCATTAAATAATTGGAAACCAACAAAAACTTTACTGATTTGTTTGCAATATATTAAATGGTGTATAAATAATGAGTTATATGTTGTAAATCATCATTTTTTATGGTATGTTATTATATTCAAGACGTTGTGTTTAATACAGTATTTAATAAATATAACACATATTTCTAGAATGGGTTTGTGTTTGTGTTGATAGCAAAACAAATGGCACTTACATTATAATTGTTGGGTCTATTGATTAACTCTAGACTAAAACAATAGCTTTTCATATTATATTTATAATAAATTTTGTTGAGTTAAAGGGAGAGAAATCGTGTTGAGACGAGAGAAAAATGTTTGAATAAAATTGTGTCATCAATTTAAACGACTTTCCTTATGGTAATCATAATAATCCTCTAAAATATTTATATTCCGTATAACAAAACAAATATATTTTTGTTTTTATTATTTCTGTTCAAACATTCATCTTATAAAATGGTATGCATTTTATATATCATGCGAAACGATATGAGATTTAAATATAAAGCCAAACGAAAAAACACATACAATAATAATAATATACAACATATTTGAGATGTGTTTCATATAAAGGCCATTCAAACGGCCTCTTCTTCTTTGCATTTGGATGTAATGATGAGCTGATGATTGCCATATGTATTGATTTCATTGACAAACAAAAACAAGTTGATTATAATCGCCAACAAACCGAATGCAATGCCAAACAGATACCAATCCGTCGGATCAAATAAATCGCTTTTTTGAGACAATTGTAGGATTAGGCAAATGATTGTCACTAATAATGGGATTATCAGAAATATTCCGTAATATTGTAATTCTTTAGGTCTGCTTCTGATTACTATCAGTATTCCCGGAGAGAAGATTACAAAACCTGGTAATCAATGAGATATGAATTTATTATTCATGTTTAGTAAATATAAATAATATAGTAGTAATATTGCATATTAATAATGCAACCATAATGATGTTGGTTATAATGGTTTACAATTTAAATATTTATAAATCTTAAATAAAATTTATTTTCAGTTAATAATAGTTTGCATTAATAAAATTTTATAGTGCATAATAATCATCATATAAAATATAATTAAATAAAATATAACGTTATGTGAAAATTGGTAAATGATGGAAGTTTTTTTTATTTAGAAATTGCGAAACTTTCTTAATTTTATTATTGTTTTAAATAGTCTTGAAAAATATATTTTATAATAAGTAAAGTGATATTGTATTTGATAAATGTCTGCATATAATCAGATTAAGCTGTCGTTTCAGCACATAATTAGTGATTATCTGTCAGATTGTTTTGTCTTATGTACTCTTAATATATAAACTACAACATCAGCAAAATTAGCCCCGATTCATTTTAATCTCATTATAATTAGCAATGAATTACTCAACGAATTGTTGTAATCGTATAAACAAAATATAAATTGCAAATAAATTTGTACCAAAAAACAAATTACCAATCATAATTATAATAATATTCTGTGACACATGATTTCTATGTCCACACATAAACAGATAATTGATTCACAAATAATGTTAAAGACATTTCTAATATAACATAAGACACAAACCTATGAGCCCGGAATACATGGGAACATCCCTCCAGTCCCAGCCACCGGCCGTGTAGTCATGTATGGGATAGGGCCACAACCATTTGGTTAGACACATCAAATACAGTCCACTACATAACCCAAAGCTCGTCCCAGTAATTAGGAAATATCGGTAAAACGTACGACACATTATAACCTGGATGATTAGCGATTGATATTAATTTATTTCTATCAATTAAACGCAGAATTAATTATTTTATATTCCTAAACGATAGCAATGTTTTTATTTTTTGTTATTCAATAATATTCATCGCCTGGAAAAACATGGGTTCTTAGCGTTTGGATCATTCATAACATTGTGCCAGAGTTTGCGTACAAAACGGCATCGGATTCAAAATATACATTAAATAATGACTAAATTCCTGGTAATGGATGAAAAGTGTGACCTATTTTTCTTCCCAACTGAGGATTAAATTAAATAATATTTTCACTTAACTTCTCATATAATATATTTATAATTTATATATTGTAAAAATAATACACAAGAATATGCACTTAATCTATGGTTAATAAACAAAACGAGTCCGTAATATGTTTCACTAATATATGAATAAAAGTATTTGGAAGTGCTTTTGACACATAAGAATCGGCAGAATATATGAACAAAAGAAAGTGGAATTTCATATTCAAAACAATATTCTGTACAAAAACTCTATAAACAATATTTTTACTGATTTTTCTATTCAATTATTAACAAAATTAATTATCAAATTATTAATATAATGAAATATTTATTCCATTATGTTCACAATATATTAATTAAAATAAATTATTATAAACTTTAGTATAAATTATATCAATAATGATAAAATCAAAAATATACATTTATATAAAGTAAAGATTTACATGTATAAATATAGTTACTGTAAATTGATTAAATTAAAAAAGCCACCATTTATAAATTACATATTGTAAATGACATTGATATCGTACTAAAATGTCTAATCATGTTATTATTTGAATTTCTATTTTACAAAATAAATGTAATTTCAGATAAAATAAATAGTCATTAACTTATAAATAAAATTCTGTTGTAATAATAAAAACTTACATTACTTTTTCACCACAATTTCATTGCAAAATTCAATTTCGTATACAATTTACTGTATATTCTTAACTATAGGGTTCGCAAAGAGTGTAAATACAGTCGCATCCGTAGCCTAAGGTATTTCTTACACACAATTGCCTTTTTATCATTGAATTAATAATTAATTTATATATTCTTTAGTCGGAAAATAAGGCAATAAATAAGTCTTTATTGGATTCTAAGTCAAACACATATATATCTATATAAATATTCGTAAAATTGTGGAAAATTTATTCAAATTTGATTTTTTAATAAATAAAAGCCCAAAGAATTCCTAAATAAGCAAAATATCCTTTCTTTCCATTCCTTTCCATTCTTTTCCTCTTTTTATTAAAGTTTTTTTCTTTCACTTCTATTCTCGAAAAGACATTACAAAAGATTGTGAGACAAAAATCAATAATAAAAAGAGTTTTGCCAACACCTCAATAGTTATATATACAAAATATATCTAATTTAGAGGCTTTAGCATAACATTTGCTGTGAATATAAATAATTTATTCTTTTCTTTCTTCTCGAAGAGCAGTCAAAAGCACTCAAAGATTTTTAGTTTTGAACCGAGATTTAGGCGCTCAACACAACACAACCCCTATCTATAGATATATATACCACTAAAGAATACACAGAATATATAGTATTGTCTGTTTATAATGTGTGTGCAATTCTTGAAGCGCCGGCAGAATGTCGATCGTATTCAGCGTTGGGTGAAGTGTTTCACACCCTTCACACCATATGTGTATCAAAAAACAACTACACAAATGCCATCAAAATATCAAACAAATCATATCACAACTGAGTAAATAGTTTTTCAATTCATTCAACTTTTTCTCAAGATTTTTATTTTTAGTTTTTCAAAATATTATTTATTGATTTGTAGATAAAATTCCGATTCTTATCTCTCGATAAAAAAGTTAATAATAACGAGAGCCCACTGTAGTGTATGTCAGTGTGTTTTCGCTACCATCTGAACACTTCGTACACTATATATGCTGTACACTGTATAACAAATTTTAGCCGACAAAAACATACAGAGAGTTTGCTCTAATATATTGATCCCAAAACTGCAATTCAATGGCTTCTATAGCGCACACCATATCAGCGGTTGTGTCGGTGCTATCAATATAAATACATAGCCTTATGAAAGCCTCTGTGCACTGGATTCTGGCGTAACAACCGATTCACTCTCAAACACACTATTATATAATACGAGTGTCTGTTATATAAAAATTCTGGTCTCTATTCTCCAGCTATAACTGGTAAATGAAGTTCAACTCAATTGCCATTCATCTGCAACAACACGACAACAAACACCACAACAAATCAAACACAACAAAACCCAAACACAATAAGTTTTCCCGATGTGTTTTAACTCGTTTTTCAACACATATTTATCATATTCTTCTTTCATATTCTTATACAACACTTAATTTATGTGTTATTTTTGTGTGAATATATAAAAGCTGTGGCAATAAATCGTGAAAATTTCTTAAAGTGAAACATAAATATCACCAAAAAGTATGACAAAAGTAGTTTACGAGTCAATTGTCATAATATTCACATCGAGTATCATATTTGGATGCACTCTCTCGTCAGTCCTGTTAATACTGTTGCGACCAAACAGTGATATGTTTGGCATCGACACCAGATTTATCATCGCGGTAATTATTTTATATTATATTTATATCTTTATTTATTATAGTTATATCATAGACAAGTGGCACAATAACCATAGCATGTGTGAGCTATTTATCATTTGTTATATATTAATAATACTCGACTTTTATTCACAATTTATATTCGTTATTATTAATAGCAAAGCGTTTATTATTGTTACTATGAGTTTGAATATACTGTACATAACAACCGCTTTTGTAGTCCATATTGTTAATTGAATTTATTGTTAGAAATTTAAATAAATTTAGTTGTATTGAGAATATATGCAAATCACATATAGTTATTACTTTTAATTACATTTTAGCTAAATATCTAAACTCTTGTATAGAATTGATTATTTTTAATTAATCCAAAACATAGTTTCAGAGAAACTTGTATCCATTAATTACCGATAAAATGTCACACTTTTAATGATATTCAAACTCATTTGAATGTAATTTTGTCAAAACATATCTCACTTTTCAGTAATACTTGAAAATTATACACTTCTTATCACACTTGAAAAAAAACTGTTTGCCTATTATAAGCCAATTTGAGCCATAGATAAGTACATCTATTTATATAACTTTCTTCTGGCGAAAAGACCACTCTTTTATCAAATTAACTTTCAGTCTATTCTCTCTGGGATTAAACATTTCAGACAAATATTTATTGTAAAACACAAAAGAGCTTTCAATGGCTAAAAGGAGAGAAAGAAAGAAAGAGAGACACAATGAAGAGATTGAGTCCAACCATTTATAGAGCCATTGAATTACATATAAAAACAAAAGCTATTGAATGCGAATTAGAGATTACTCTCAGATTAGAGATACTCTCTATTGAATTACATTTTGTGTAATACGAAAAATCACAGCAAAACTTCCTATTTATCGAATTTTTATGCTTAAAACTGAACATCTATTTTGAAATTTCATATATATCATTATAAATTACATTTAATGACAAGTGTTTTATAAAACATTTATAATTTAACACTTTTTACAACAATTGTCCGCCAGATATGCGTATTGAATGTGATTGTGTTCAGCGTTGGTCTCGTGGGGACAATAGCCGAGTCGTTTCGGGCGCTCAACATCTACTCGTGTTTAGTCATTATATTCCCATTCGGTCTCCTATTGATCCAAATGACAGTCCGGATGAGCAAAAAGTCCTTCGACACCATCGATCAGCTTCTGGCCGGAGCTCTGGTCATATTACTCATGCAGATAATCGTCGCCTATCTGTTGGCCAGAGAGATACGGCACTTAACGCTTCTTAATCGTGGGATCAATTATAAGATGTGTCACTTAGAGGATGGCAGTGATGTACAGCTCTGCCAAACAGCACAACAGCCCACAGAGGAGTTGGAGACTTGATATGAAACGCATCGTCGATAAGGCGGTGATGGAGTGGAGGGTCACTGAAAGATAGTGGACAGACATATGGAGAGGGAGTGATGGGAGAGAGAGAGAAACGATTGAGTGATAAGAATGGTATATATAAGTGAAGAGCGATCAAGAAATATGTGAACCAAAATGTGATGTTCGGCCAAATAGTACTGACAATCGATATATAAATAATGATTTGTGTGACGAGAAGTGATGAAAGATAAAGTTTTTTTTTGATTACTTGTTATATACTTTATATTACTGTTATATTATGTGTTCCGGAATTTTTGCCAATAATTTTTTGCACTCATTTTCATTCGTGTAGTTTAAGGGAAAAATTTCTATTAAGAAATCTCAAGTCAATTGATGTGAAATTTTTTCTCTCTTTTATTATATTTTATTATTTTATTTGTGATATATTTGATTGATTAATGACTTTTCTCCCCGTTTTCTCTCATATCACCCAAAGCTTTGCCCATTAAATCATTTGAATGTAATTTTGTGTTTCTATCTCTCAATTCATGAACTCTTTTATAGTTAACTTTTATTTAGTTATTTTCTGTAATAGACTTTTGAGTTTTCTTTATTAAGATTTATTAAATTTTTTGGCTTAACTTTGGGTTTCATTTTTTTCAAATATCAGTACCAAAACTGAGTTTATTTTTGATTAAAACATGTATTGGGCTTATAATTTATACGTATGTTATTTATCATATGTTTTATTAAATATTGTATTGATATATTGATTTCTATGGTCCAATATATTGCCTCACTTTTATGGATGGGTTTTTCTATTTAATATGTTTGAACACAAAAATGCATCCAATATTTTATTCCCATTCAATTTGTTTTATAATTTGTGCCCAAATTTATTGATTAAATGATGAAAACAATCCGATTCTTTGCGGAATCTCTTTATTATTTGTCTAATAAAACACACATAAAAGTCAATAAGTATGGTATGAATCGTATGTCTTATTTCTATGGGCTTTGTTCACAATATTCACAGAATATTCTATATTTTTATCGATGAAATGATGTGAAAGTCTATGCAAATTATATTGTAATACTAAAGTATGTATTGAAATGTTAATTATTAAAATGGGGTTTAATATATTTATTTGACAGTTAAATCTATTGTTTAAAACAAATAGTATTGTGTATTATATTTAGTACAAAACACTGTATTATACTGTATCTGCCTATCATTACAAGCGACGATAACTTTAGTATAAATGTACAAATTATTTGTTAACTGAAACAAAATGTTTGAAGTTTTTGATTGATTACACTGTAATTCATAAAAATTATGATTAAAACTTGCAATAAAATTGTTATTTCTGTAAAATATTTAATAAAAATTTGAATAATATATTATTTGAAGACATAATTATTTATATTGCGGTTTATATGCGATTATTGCTGAAGACATATTTAATCGTAAGTAAAATATATGACAGTAATTAAACGGATAAACAATATTAATGAAAATGTTGAACTCATTTAGATCAAGAGCAATTAGCAAAGCGCCAGATCTAACTCATTCACACCTTCACAACGAGATTCTTAATTAAGAGCAAACGAGTTGTTTGGCTAAGAAATTACTATTATATAAATTATAAGACTTAAAGGCATTGTTTGTAAAACTGATCACAACTTATCCAACAATGCGTTAACAATTTTATATGTTATTTGTATTTGGCGTTTGGTTTTGCAAGAAATGGACAATTTTGACATTTTGTGCGAAACTGATTTACTATAGATATGATAGAAACCATCAATAATAAAGCGTCGGTGATATACAGTATGGGATTAAGTTAGGAGTGGTGTTATGATCCTATAAACCACAATAAATATCATATATAATGGCAATTAAATTGTACGTTAAATTTATTTATTGGTAAACCTAAAAAACAGTGTATTCAGAGAAGTCATGGCAAATATAATAAATCATTTGATTTGTCGCTTAATCCGCCTCTCAATGCTTTTCAATGTATTTAATTGAACGACTGATTCGTCGACCATTCAAATCAAAGTCCAATTGTGTCCATAAATAGTATATGTCTTTCGACTATAAGTCGACATTAGGTTATCATTGAGAATGTAGTTTACATAAGGAATCCATCAGAAAGTCTGTTGGGATGAGAGGCTATGATTTTCAATGATTGTGCACTACAGCAGTGATTGAGTAGTCTTATGACAATTTAATTGAAATATACTCTATGCCTGTATTCTTGGAAAACATTATTTACCATATAATAAAAGTGAATTACAAAATACACAACATATACACAAAATACATGTATTATTTTTATGCTTTATAGTAGTCTTTGTAAATGTGTGAAAAACACATTCCTGTCCGGTCCGGTCCGGAGCCAATCCATTCCTGTTCCTGTCCTGTTCCGGTAGGCAATGGTAAAATATTTTCCGGTCCGGTCCTGTCCGGATCCGGTAATTTCCGGCCAATCCTGTGGTTTAATATAAAAACCAAAGAATCTATAAAAACTCAACTAAATCCCTTAAAAATGACAAAACTATGTCTTAAATGAGATATTGATACAGTTAAACGTGAAAAATATTTCATAAGTTCAGTTATATTTAATAAATTAAATATTTTATAAAATAATTGCTGGCAATATTAGTTTTTCCTGTCATGAATCAATTCCTGTCCGGTCCGGTCCGGAGCAGATATAATCCTGTCCGGTCCTGTTCCGGTAGACAATGGTAAAATATGTTCCGGTCCGGTCCTGTTCCTGTACCGGATCCGGAAAATACCGGATTCCGGATTGTGTTTACAAAGACTAGAAATATCATCTGATTATCATTATATGTCATTTATATCAGATAAGTTTCGGGTGTATTTTATATATTGATAAATAAGACAAAAGTTATAAAACGTTTTATTTTACTTTATTTGTAAATTAACTTATACTATTAAACAGATAATAGAATTTATAGATTATATTATTTTATTTATATTCATATCATATAAAATATTTTAAATACAAGTTATTAATATTTATTCATTTACTATTCATTTAATATTTAATATTAAAAGAAATTTTAAGTCAAATAAACATATAATTCCTTAAATTATTATATAATCAATAATCTAATCACTACTTAATGCTAAGCAATACTGAAATCATTTTGATAATTAGTTATACATTAGGTTTAAAGTCAATATAAAAGACAAACATCTGCCTAAAGCAGTGATCAATAAATTTAATTATTGAACAATTTAAGTGTCAGTAAAATAGCCAACAGATGAACGTATGGACTGAACAGAAGAGCAGAAGATCCGGAGGGTGGAGGGGTTGTGGTCTCTGTACCCATTGAGCCCGAAGGTTGTTGATTAGGGGTTGGAGAGCCTCCTACTGTACCCTGAGATTGTTGCCCTAAAAATAATAGTAAAATTAATATTTTGTATTAATTGTCTAAACAAACAAATATTCTTTATCATATAAATATAAATTATATTAAAAACTTATATATTAAAACTTATAAATCAAATACATACCTTGTTCAGCGGCCATGCACAAAATGGCCATGGTGGATAGAAATGCAATAAATAGAATTGTTTTCATAGTTACACGAATAGTACCGCAACTATTTTGAGAGAGATGTTAACAATAGATGAATGTCTGAAATGAATGGATAGGCGATTAAAGTGTGAATTTATTTTATAAGATGTTCCGCAAATCTAATGGCTATTTATATATTGAATGGTTTGCTCAACGATTAGATAACAAGAGTGTAATGTTGTTGTGTCTGTAAATTGTTAGACAATTTCAAAAGGGATTCAATAATATTTGACTTTAAATACATGAAGGAAGTGAATGGATGAGACCAGTGGTCTATGAACAATGTCAATCACCTTGATTAGATTATAATATATTTAATGCTGTTTAACTAATACTGAATTAATATGGTGATTAAAACAAGTTAATAAAACTCTTTAACTTAAATATATCACAAAAATATATAACAGTAAGGAATAAAATGTTGAATAAGTATAATGTGTTATACGATACCAACCTTTTCGTCCAACCGAACTAAAGGCCTATCGCTGTCTATAATGACTTTAATTAGATATTTGTTGTGTTTGCAGTCGTTTTTATTAATACCACACATGTTAACGCACAAAATCACAGGCAATATATGTTAATGAAAAGGAAACTGCGGCACAAACGATAAGTAAGTGCATTATTTGTTTTACTGTGTTTTGAAGAGTTAGTAAGTGTGTCAATAGCTGAGAAAAGACATTAAAAAGAATAAATTTTTACTAAAATTCTAATTAAATGACAAAAACAATACTTATATTTGATATGTAATATACAGTACACTAGAATATTCTACAATATTGAACAGTAGAAGCAATTCATTACATCTTAATAGCAGCTAAAATAATATTATTTTAATTATATTATTCAGCATTTTATTAGTGGTTGAATATTGAAATTTTAATCCGTTATCGCAATCAGAAATCGAAAATTTACTAATCATTGTCGTGACTATCATTGCAAAACATTTAGTACATGGTTATTTCAAATAGATTAGATATTCATTAAAGACCTACATTAACTTCTAATCATACATCTGATTCAGATTGATGCAATTGCAATCAATGCAATCAATAGACTCATATTGATGCAATTGCAGATAGTCCAATTAATAAAATAATTATTATATTTAAGCCAGTTAATTTTTATGTATCAATTATAATCACATTAATTAGATTATAATTTTCAAATAACAAAGATAGTCTATTTATAAGATTACGTTACATAACCTGTACTACAGGTAATAGGCATTCAGTATAAACTACTTTATCAATATAGGGGGCAAATTAGGGGGTACTAGTGATAATGCGTAACGTTGTTTGTGAATGCATTATGCGGTGATTATTACACAATAACAACTGCCAGAGAGTGAAAGGCATGTCTTCAACGACAACAACATTGGCATCGCTTCCACCGCCAGTGTTGGCCACCTCTGGACACACAGCCACTCATGAGGTATGTATTGTCACCACATGTGTGACCACACACTGTGTGTGTCTATAGCTGTGTGTCTATGATATGACTCTCGCATACAATGATTAGCCGGTCTCTCATTATATGGCATAACATATAGTAATTGCATTTTTGACAGCCTTTTAGACACTATTTATATAAACAATGAACGCATCCAATAGTGTACCCAAAATGTATGCCATATATACCTGTACTGTACCAATGTGTACACCTAGTGGTGCAAATTGGGGCTAAATTTGGTGTAGTTTTTGTAATTGAATCAAATATTCTTTCGCTATATATAGCTATTAAACCTGTAATTCATAGACAATGTTATATGAATACGAGTTGGGGTTCACTATAATTAGTGATATAATGTTAGTAAAGGGTTGACATTATTGACGATTAAAGTAACGTTTGTTGCGATTTATATTATAATTAATATTTGGGTTAAATGAATATTGTATGGGAACTGTATTGGTCTATACCTGTACCGTACAGTATGTATATCAATAGGGAAAATACACAGGAAAATAGTGTGTATATTATGTACATATTGTTTATAATAATTTCTAATGAATGCATTTTATTATATTTTGGCAGACAATCGCTGTTTAGGGCAACGGATCTATTGTTGGATACATTGCGACATCACATGAAGTATTGAATCGAGTATTAAAAGTACGCGAATATAGTTGAGTGAAATAATGCCACACATTAACTGTATTAAGAAAACGGACTACTGGACCAATTCAAGGCCACCCATCGCCACTTTTAAAGTAAGTTTTCCAATTCACCATGGCACTAATTCTAATCTACCTAAACAACTTGTCTCCCCTCTCAAATTGATATGTAAATCAGGTTTAATCCAGTTTGAATGGACTGACCTATAGGTGTGTTAGTCGTGGACTTTGACTTGACTTATGCTGATTTTAAATTAATGCTAATTTTATGATAAAATTTACTAATGATTTAGTGTTTATATTTTGACAGCAATTATGCACGTGATTGTAAAGTCTGTTCCGTATCATTCACGCCAAGTGTATATTATTTACAATTAAAGGCTCTCAAACTGTTTATTTCAATATACATGTCGGTTAAAATATAATTGCCGATACTGCTACTACACGAATCATATGATTAGGGTCATCTTAACCGAGTTTTAATTTAAATAGAAATAAATATTTCACTTATAGATAAATATATTTAAATATTTAGTTTTAAATCTAGAAATTACTGGATTTTTGCATTATTTCCAAAAAAACAATCTTTTTATAGCATTTTAAAGAAAATAAATTTTCACTTTTTTAGTTCATTTCACAATTTAGTTATCATTTGATAAGTATATGAAAGACAGTAAAATGTGGGCAAAAAAAAGTGCATAAATGCAAGTCTCAAGTTCTCGTCAAAGGCCAAGATTTATATATGACATAAATTACACAAATAATTACAAATGGAGTTAAATGTGCTGTTATATTATACGCTATTTGTTATATCACTAGTCACTAGGGTGTGAAACTAGGGTAGTAATAAAAGCATTACTATTTATTAATTATAGCCCATTTCTAAACAACATTTTGATCGCCAATCACTCATTGATTGCTAAATATAGACTTAACCCATACTTTACAGTAAACCATATATTTATAGTTTTAAAAACAAAAAAAGTGTTCAATTCTTTTCGCAAAAACAAATATTTATAAATAGATTATACGCTAAGAGTGTTTGGGATCGGTCAACCCTAGTGAGCGAACTGTGCGTTCGTAAATTACTAGTGCAAAACGGAGTACCCAATATCAGATTGCACATAAACCCAAAATTAAAGTTAAAGTTATGTATATAATATCTAGTTATCAGCATACGATGGCACACAATTGGCACCATTCAAGACAAACGCCAATTACTTTGATCCGAGGCTTCCTCGAGAACGGTCGCTAACTGGCAATAGTTGTCTCAAATGCACGACAAATCGTTATAGGATTAAAGTATGTATCGTTTAAACCATTACATTACTACTGTATGTCTGTTCCCGTCTATTGTCTGGACATAACTTTTTAAAATATTAAATTTCTCGACAAATCATGTCATTATTAAAGCTGTGTTTAATTTTTTTACTGTTCACATATCTAATCATGTTTTCAGTACTGTTTTGAAGTAAATAATTTTTTTATTTCAATTCAACTTTGATTTTATAACAATCGATAAGTAAATTGAGTTTAGTGTTTATACAAATTGTATACCCATTGCCTCTACACTCTGTATTCTGGTCTCATAACCACTGTTTTCCGTTTTCAATATTTTGATGTGCTTTTCATATCACAGTCAATACAAATGATTTACAGTTAAAAATGCTTGAGATTGTGGTGTGAAATGAAGAACACATACCAATCAGTTGGGATCACTCGCTTGACACGCAAGCATTTAATGATCACGTTTTGCCTCATGGGTTATAGTCTAACGTGTATTTGGGTTTTAATTTCAATTTCAATACATATATTATAGATCAATAGTCGTATTGATGGCACACAATTGGCACCATTCAAGACAAACGCCAATTACTTTGATCCGAGGCTTCCTCGAGAGCGGTCGCTAACTGGCAATAGTTGTCTCAAATGCACGACAAATCGTTATAGGATTAAAGTACGTATTGTTTAAACCATTGCATTACTACTGTATGTCTGTTCCCGTCTATTGTCTGGACATAACTTTTAAAAATATTAAATTTCTCGACAAATCATGTCATTATTAAAGCTGTGCTTAATTTTTATTGCTTACATATCTAATCATGTTTTCAGTACTGTTTTGAAGTAAATAATTTTTTAATTTCAAACTTTGATTTTATAACAATCGATAAGTAAATTGAGTTTTTAGTGTTTATACAAATTGTATACCCAATGCCTCTACACTCTGTGTTCTGGTCTCATAACCACTGTTTTCCGTTTTCAATATTTTGATGTGCTTTTCATATCACAGTCAATACAAATGATTTACAGTTAAAAATGCTTGAGATTGTGGTGTGAAATGAAGAACACATACCAATTATGAGATCATTTCGAGGGATGAAAAACAAATTCTCATTCATTTTTGATACAAATGATAATCTCTGGAAAAGAGTCCAAAAGTAATAATTCGTGTTAAGAACGTGATTATCGATTCAGAGAGAGAGAGAGAGAGAGAGAGAGAGATCAGAGTCTGACTTAAATATTTAATTTATAATTTAGTTTAAATATAGAATATATTTCGACAAAAACTTTTTTTATAAATACAATTTTACATTTGTGTTACCAGTAGTTACATATAAAAAGCTGATATAATTAGTTAGTGATTACAATCAGCACATGTGTTAATACAATTTTTTATGCGTCTATAATATAGACATATCACTAATAGACAGGGAGGTGAGGGAGAGGGAGGGGAAGAGAGAGAGAGAGCATTGAAAAATACAACTTTTAAAAATTATATGAGGATAGTTACTACAGACAAACTAATCTCGATATAATGCTTGCATAAAACAGTGCTTACATTGAAACGATTGCGAGAAAAAATTCACTGCAATTTTTAAATATACATTTTAAAACAGTTTATCAGATATTTTGTCTGTGATTCTGGCCATCAGAGTATGAATTACAGTCTATTACTGTATAATTTTTTATGAACTTTAGGCCTAACAATCACTTTTCTATCGTCTAATTATAATTAATCATAAATTTGTTTATCTGTTTCTCATTTCATCTCTCATTCACCAACACATCGACTAATAGACAGAAAATGATGTCTCGTTATCAGCGCTGGGTTTGGCTAATATTCTTCGAGTACCGCTACAGAATCGGTGAGTCTATAAAAGTGATCGCTTAAGACAATTATTTTATATTTTCAGTCACAATTTAATTTACACACAACACATTAAGCATTGCTTTTTAATTGTGATTATTATATCAATTCAATGAAGTGTTTAATAGAGTCTCAATTATTAGTGTTTTGCAAACCATTCAATCGATATCAATATGTTTATGATTTTCGTCTTAATCTGACGACAATTAATGTGTGAATAATATTTTGTTTTTACGGCTAATATTTGAATGCAAAGCCTCTCTCCTTAATCTCTTTTAAGAATATTTTTAATGTTGAAAAACGTTATTTTATTTTAAATTAAAAGTTATATAATATTTAGTAGAGTTAACGGGAAGTTGTCGACTGAAAATACATACTATGTTTTTATCTGTATGTGATTTCGTTATAAATCCTGTAAACTTGATTTTGAACTGAAAACGACTCATTGAACTTCTTATTGAATACTTTTTTATATATCAAGTGTTACAGCGTTTTGTTTTTATACATATTTAATCGCATATTTAATATAAATAATACTACAAAATGTCTGCAATACTAGCAATAATGACTGGCTATTGCTGTCAAATTATAGCCAAAATAAGGCACATATTCTCACCTAAATTATCGACTGATTTCAGGTATACATCAAATATTTGGTTTAAATAAATTCAATTTCTTATAAATTTTTATATACTTTACATGTTTTGGTGATTATACTGTTAGAAGAGAGTATATGTAAAGATCATTTCAGAAGTAATTAATGTCAGCAATAATTAATAGATACGTTAATCTAATTATTCAAAAATGCAAAGTATTTGCATTTATTCCCGACTTTTTGCGAATTTATTTCCCAAAAATACTCATTCAATGAATGGAAAAGTAAAGCATTAAATTAGTTGTTTATATAATTATTATGAAACTGGGTTTTTTGTTTTTCATTCCACATTACCTTCAGCATTATGTACACGTGATAGTAGTGTGACCATAGGTTTTTAACAAAATAACAACTTGTATGTTGTGATGCTAGTCAATTAAAATTGTTAATCTTAAGCACTTGAAATGAGAAATACGATTAGACCATTTAGTTAACATTACTTTACACTTAATATTCAATCTCAAACATAACTATTTATGCAGTATTTAGTAATTAATGTGATGGATATTCTACCTAATGTTTTTGTACGTAACTTGTGTTTTATATTTATACCGGTATTAAAACTATTCACCGATATAAGTGTTGCAATGTTTTGATAACATTGGCACAAATATTATGATTTATTTTTTTTTCATTGGGTATCAGTTTATTTGCATTTACTATCGAGACATTGAATCGCCGGACATTGAAATTGGCGTAAACATCAACAATCGACGCCTTAATAGTGTACACTTACTGTACACTATACACACTGTTTTGTACGCTAATATGGCTAGAAGTTTGTTTTTGTGCAAATAATCTAGATGATTGAGATGTTGTTGACGATTACGGCGATTCAATGTCCGCACCCAATGAGTTGATTGTATCGACATTTAACGATATGATTGTTTCATTTGCGTGTGTCTTAGCGGCGATGAAAACCTAATATCGCGATCGTTTTATTACGCCT